AGAAGACACAGAATGTGTTGAACAAAATGGCTATTTTTGTAGTGATCTTATAACATACTTATGTTATAATTTTTATAAAAATAATTATATATATATATATATATATATATATATATATAGTTTCGGCTTTATGTCATATCTTAAATATGAAAAACATTAAATATCTTCAATAGGAAAATATTACTTACGAACTTATAATTTTTGGAATTTTGTTCCTGATCAATCAAAATTCGTAAATAATTATATAGGCCACACTACATGTTTGATACGAAGACTCACTCTACATCTTTCTGACCATAGCTTAATTAGATCTCATTTAAATATTCATGGAGACCTACCAGACCCTATATGTAACATTCTTTTTGACAGCAAAAATATAACAGCATCATCTACATGTAAAAATATTAAATAATAATAATAGAAGCCTTATTAATAAAAGCAAAAAAAAACCACTCAATAATAGCAATTATGAACATGGACACAATATATTGACCGTGTTTTGAAAGATGAAAACATTATATAAATACATACATGCAACAAACTATTTCTTATTAACAGTTAATATAATTCAAACTTGAAAATTTCTAAATGTATAACCAAAAGCCCTCGGATAAAAAGAAAATCCGGGCAGTTTTTATATAATTTATCATCTGAAAAGAAAAGAATTACTAGATCACATGAGAAATTGTATAGAAAACTAAATCAAGCAACTTGTCTTTCTTATTCAATGAAATATGCATGAAAGAAGGATTGTTGCCTAAGTACACACACACATACACTCGCACACACGCGCACACGCACACACACACACACACACATATATATATATATATATTCAAAAAAGCAATTGTATGGTAAAAATACTTTGAACATTACATCTTAAAAACACAAGAAAACTCGAAACAAAATTGGTAGCATGTAATCATTCAGAAGAATTTTGAATTTAAATTCCAATATGAATTCTCTTGAATACGCGTAGCGTAAATTTGCTGAAAGTGGGGAGGTGGGTATTTCATTTATCGGAGTGTCAGAATTGCGTCCGGTAATAAAAAAAAAAAAAATAAAAAAAAACTGACAAGAAGAAACAATGGAAATATAAAAGCATGTATGGAGAACGCTCTCAATTAAATTCATGCATTCACCATTTCCCCGGAAGGCATGCATATGTGTATTTGGTTTGCATATAACGTCTATTTTAAATCATATTTCTTGAAATTTCAAAGTACACTCCAGGATGTGTCCTTATTACGAGATAGATTAATCAAGTAAACCCCGTTATAGTAGATACTAAGGGTGCTGAAATATTATTCTCCCAATCCACTTAACAATACAGAGCAAATATCAGTATCGATCTGAAAGGCCCCTTGATCGGGGTGTAAACGGTTTATCACCACCACGTACATCCCTATTCCAAGTGGTATGGTGTAGAGCAGTGGATCTCAACCTTTTTTTTACCCATGGACCCCTTTCCCCTTCTTTTTATCTTGGTGGACCCCTTCATAGCTATTGGACATAAGAACAATTTTCTATTCTTCACTAATATAAATTTTAAGGTTTTAATTATCAAAGAAATAGTATACGATTAAGCTTTATTTTTAAATGAAAACTAATTTAATACAAATAAAATATTCTACTATAATTATAATAATAATCATTATTACTATTTTTAATTAACACAACAATTGAGTTTTGCCTGTGGACTCCCGGAAATATTACATGGACCCCTAGGGTCCATGTAGACCTCGGTTGAGAACCACAGGTTTAGAGTATAGTGGTTTAAATGTCATCATTTTCAAAGCGAAATACTCAGCACATTTTCTCTGTATAACATTGTGACATCATGACTTTACTTTTTTTCAAAACAGGTGGTTTTCCAAGCACATGAGTAGTGGATTTAGAACGGAATTAGTCAAACTTGAAAATCCTCTGCCTCCGTTGGAATTCAAAATTTAATAATTTCAACCCAAGTAAGGCTGGAATGTCACTAGTACTCGAGGTGTGTACAGGAAATTGAAAATGAGAGAAAAGAGACAGTATAGGTGCGGATTGAATAACGGATAGAAGATGAACAGGATTCAAGACTACATAAGATAGCCATTGCCATTGCATTGAAAGTTTTGAAGATTGTAGTTATCAGGGAAGCAAGTAAGCGGAAGGGATTTCCATTGACAGGAAGTTTGAGAAATAAGTGTTGGAGTAGAAACTGCGTTTATATTTAACTGTTTCAGCAGTAAAAGGGTGAGACCTAATTGCCAATCTAGTAGCTCGCTTAAATTCCTGTACTCGGGGCACCAGGGACAAAAGATCGGCAGAGCGATTGCTATGAAAATATTTGTAGAAAAGACGGAAGGAAACATCAAGTCTGTGAGAAAATAACTGAAGTCGACATGCCAAGTCAGGATCGATTGCATTGCAGACTTCTTTGGAATTGGTCAAGAACCTCGGGACGAAGAGAAGGGGCACTAGACCAGATATGGCAACATTATTCAATGCACGGACGAATGTTAGATTTGTAAATGTGCAAGGTGGACGCGATAATTCTGATACGACTCAATCAACTATTCTTGCAGTAATGCAGCTATTGATGCAATACAATTGTTCCACTCCAAGTCAATTGAAAGAAGCCGGAGTCGATCATCAGCCATGCAGATGTCGGTCAAGGAAGGTTCTCTATGGTGGTTAAATGAGAGCAACTTAGTTTTGGAGGCATTAAAATTTTCAAGTCATTTCCTGCGTCAGTTAACCACTGACTGGAAGCCGTTTTCAAGAACAGCGTCCAGTTTAAATGATTGTATTTGGTTAGACTCAATCAACATGTACGACTCATCAGTCCTTTCCACATAGCAAAGAATGGATACCAATCATAATCTCGAACCTTAAAATCTAGAAATTTGAAATCCTTAACAATTAAAATCCCGAAATTTGAAATCTCTAATTTATAAAATTCCGAAAGAACGGAATCCCAAAATTTAAAATCCTGGATGAGCAGAATCCTGAAAGATAGTCTTTGGGAGAAATTGAAAAGAAAAGGGTAATACCTTTATTTCTAAACATTTAAAAAATACCGACTGATTAGTGTTTTTACATTTGAAACATTCAAAATTGATTAAAAAATATATAAAAAAAAGAATATGGCATAGGTGATGGATTAATTTAGTATGCAATGTTCATGTCGGTGTTTATCCCATTATTGGAGAGTTTCAAAAAGAGCAGCACCACGTAGAAAACGAATATGAACGCATTCTTCGAGGAGAGTCTTGTCCAAAAAGAAAAAAAATGGTTCGTGTTTTATTGTGATGAAAGGCTTAAAAATGTAGTTAACGAATGTGAAAACAGACCAGATCTTTTGGACTATCTCAGGCCTCGTGCTCATAATTTTTCATTATAAATGATTCATATATTCTGGTTTTATATTTTTTACTGAAATTTGAATGTTTCAAATATATAAGCATTTTATATTTAAACTGTATTTTGTCAATGTTTAGAAATAAAAGTATTTCTAATTTATTTTCTTTCAAATTTCTCCATAAACTCTATTTTTCGAGATTCTGTTCTTTCAAGATTTTAAATTCCGGCATTTTGATCTTTCGGGATTTTGATAAATTCGGCATTTCAAATGTCAGGATTTTGAATTTCAGGATTTCAGTATTTGGGATTTTAAGATTTGGGCTTGTAACCCAAACACCAAATAATGTGTGCATCATACGCACTCCATTCCAATTTTTTTTTTAAAGTGTAAAACAGTAATTGCTTATGGTCACTCATCAATGCTGGTATTTCTTAAGCTCTCTCTTCAAACTTAAACTGTTTCAGCCTGAGAACAAATTCTGCTCAATAGTATATATGCAGATGGTACTACCGTTTTTGGGTGCACATTCAAAAATCTAGATATCAAGAGCCTGACGGATGATCTCTCCCGTGACCTTGCTCACACATTTTACGTTGGAACTGA